TGTAAATTGTAATCTGCTATTATTTAGTGTGTTGGTTGCTATGGCTTCAAAAGTCTGCATGATGTCCCTGGCTCTACATAACTATGCTCATATCCTCCACCAACTGAACCACTGCAGTCACTGCAGACTACTCTGTGAACAGACTGCACAGTATAATGCAAAGTTTTTCTTTTGAAAAACCAACAAAAGCTGCATATTAACTTATGAAAAAGGACATCTGATTTTTGCAGAAAATATGTATTAACTGCTAAATTAGTCATGCATTTTAGAGCAGTCTATGACTGAACAGCTGCATCCCAACCACGTCACAAAGTGCAACAAAAGAAAACACAACAAACAAAAAATTAAGCGATTACATATCGAGAACTGATCTGAATCTGATAAACTGTGGGATTTCGATTAAAAATTTTCAATTTTCACCAAGGAATGAATATGAATTAAAACATTAGAAAAAAATATTAAAAATTTTGAATTATTAAATTACTATTAGACATTTCATTTTAAAAATGTAAAAATCAATGGGGTCTAAATTATCAGTTGATAATAGGGAAGTGTTCAAAAGTTAAGATTGTGTTTGACGATATCTACAACTCATTTCATAAACCACAGTGTAAAAATGAATGAAGATTACAAGCCTTTCTTCATTTACCTTTGACTCCTGCTCTCTTCCTGGGCTTGTGTGTTGGGCATGCTCATTGTCTACTTCCAAGTTACATCCTGCCTCTCTTTTCATTTTGCTGTGACACAGGTCTCCATATTGGGTCCCTATCCATACTAGAGACAAGAACATTTTCAGAACGTCCTGTTTCGTGCTCCAAGTTTCTTTCCACTTTTTTCTATTCCAATTAAAAATGCAAATCTACAGAGGTTATTTACATACTGGTGTAGATACTGCATGCCACGCTGTTGCAGTGGGGAAGAACAGATTGATGTTGGATGGGAAATTGTGTTGGGCAACTGTAGGTGCAATACTGTGCCTTAAGAGCCAAGGAAAGTAGGCTGGTGGTGAAAGATGAAATGCAGGTGTTCTGTGTTTTCAAATGGGTCTTTTCTTCTGAAGGAAGTGGAGGCAGAGCTCCACACTTTTTTCACAGTGGGCAACTCACTGCCAGCATGAGCAGGAGCTTGAAAGTGTTTATTTGTTTTAATGCTCCATATGTCTTTTCATCCCAACTAATTACAAAGAGACAGCTTAGATTTGCTATTGCCATTGATGATAAAATCTGCTTGTGCCGATGTTGTCATAATCTGGGAGGGATGGTGTCAGTGCTACTCCTATTTATTTACAAATATCTACTTTATATTCAGAGTGCAATCATTCCTTTTGAACTTCCTTGGGGAACTCTTTGCTCCGAAAAACAGTATCATGTTAAACTTTTGCCAATTTAAAATATGTAGGAATGACGCAACCCAGCTATTGTTTAATTTTGATTTCAAATGGTTATTAGTTTTAATATTTTTGCTTTTAAATGTACATTACTAAAGTTAATAACAAGGTAATTCAAATAAAATTTTCCAGTTCTGTTTTCAGTTTCAGTTTCATTTTACAGACCCAAATCGGTGTCATCTAGTGGTGAAAAGAAGGAATAAGCCTCAGAAGTACAAGACCTGTGATATTGGCTTGTATGTGTAATTGTATGTGATCAGGTTTGTTGTGTAATTACTGTGCAATGTTATGAATAATTATCTGTCAGAAAAGAAGCTAGGGTCTGTTATGAAGATAGTGTATTAGAGCAAATTGCAAAGCAGTAAAAATGCTGAAAAAAGGCCTCAGACTTTTAAGGGTTAAGCTAAGAACCTGACCAGAACCAGTTTTATGATGCTCACAATTGTTTTCAATTTCTTATGAAATACCACCAGTTGAACTGAAATTCTGTCACCAATTCCTTGGCAACTCATCACTAATGAGATTTATTGCTAATGATTGACTGCCATTGTTGAGGATTTGTTGTTTCAATCCTACAGTACATGAATCTTTTATTTGTCATCTTTAGGTGTTGTAAAAAGTCTTTAGACTGAACAAAAAAGTTAATATCCCATCATTATACAGTACACTTGTTCGCTCAATTATCACATAAAATCCAGAAGACTTGCAAATGTGTGAAACCCTCTAATGTGTGAAAGCATCTCCTGAATAATTATCAGGTATGAAATGGAATCCTCAATATCGTTTCTAGTCATTTTCATTCACTTATTTCATTCACACACTTCACAAATTGCCATTGTAATTACATACCAATCATATCATGTTATACAATTTATCATACAAATTAGGGCTGCAACAAAGATTTTTTTGGTAATCGATTAATCTATCGATTATTGGACCGATTATTCGATTAGTCATCGATTATTTCAATGATTAATCAGAAGCCTTTGAGTGATTATTCTGCTTTTTCAACTAGTTAAAATAATGAGTTACAAATATTCTTACTAATAAATAAAATAAGGAAATCACTTCAGCTTTTGAAATAGTTGTTTTAATGAACTTTGAGCCAACTAAACAGGTCATTCTCTTTAAGTTTTCTGATTTTGTTACACTCAAATTACACACAAATGCTCTCTAAGCATTGTTTACATGTTTTGTTCTAATTCAATAGAAAAAAATAATCAGCTGCATTACAGACAAAAAGAAAGTTGAATGTGAACATATCTTGACAGCAGCATTAATAATTGTTGGTTTACCACTCGTTTTAGTTCATCAAAAGTAATATCCCAGGGAAATACACAGTTATGAAACTAGATATTTGGAGGGTGATAATCTAACAATTCTTAAATCTGGCAACATTTCAAAATGTAAGAAGAAAATATAGATAAGTTTAGAATCAGCAGAAGATAATGAATGGTGTGAGAAAGAAATGCTTTGGTGTGTTGTCTTCATTTTATTTCTATTTTTGACTCTTAAAGCTCTTATATTGACTAATCGTTTCAGCCCTAATACAAATACAAAAATAGATTTGAGACAAAAATAGGGTTCAGTTGACAGTTTTACATAAATAAACTTACTGACTGAAGTGATACTATATTCACTTCTGTGTGATCGTTTTATCAATTTTTTAAGTGAAATTTTAAGTGAGTCACTTAAAGGCTTTTTAATCTGAAAGCATAGTGATAACCATTACATGAAAGACATTCTCTGTCTGAATCAATTTGACGTTTTTTTTTTTAACACACTTCGGGAGGACCGTGTCATAACTAGCATAATGTGTTTGGGTGGATTCCACATCTAATCGATGACGTGGTACATCGATGACCCTGGAGTATGGCAACAGTATAGAAATAAGTGGCATTTTTTTAAATTAACTTTTAAAACAACTACCATTTGCCTCAAATAGCTAAATGGAAAAAGCTCAATAGTATGTGTTATCTATATTTTTAAGTCTATTGTGTGACGTCAAGAAAAAAGATTATTCAGTTTCCTTGCTACAATGACCTTTTACACAAAAACTTTAAAACATTTCAAACTCTTCATCATTTGCAACATGTTTGTTTGTACCTTTCAATAAAGGTAGAGTTCTCTTTAAAAGTCGTGATATCTCTGCCCCAGAAAATAAAATCAGAACCACACTTAAAAACCGGTGTAAATACTGATTTTCACAGTGTGCTCTATCAAGCCTCCAGTTTTAGAAAGCATCCTGCATGAAAGGAATCTCATAGAAAACTGATTCGAAACACTTCTGCAACACTTACTGCAGGCAATACACTGTGAAAATTGAAAGTTCCCTAAGATTAGTTCAGAAAACAAAATAACTACCTGTTGTTTAACTATTATACCATAAATATACTTTTAGTGTCAAGTAAATCTGAATACTGTATATTTTAAATGACAGATTCTCTTTGGCGCAGTGCACTCTGTGATTGTATCTTATCTGTTTGGAACAGCTTTTGCTTTGGAAGCATTCGTTTGATGGCTAAAATGACACCTTGGCAGCAGATGAGGATGGCATCTTCATGCTACAGTTTATTTTAGGAGAAATAAGTTAATCAAAACAGTATTGGAGTGAAATCAAATGTGAAAACTGTATGATTGAAGTTAATTCTTGCATGAATAAAAATTGACTGTGATGAATATAGATAAAATATAGTTTTTCCTGTTTATATTAACTCCAAATATTAAATACAATCTAACATACATTAAATTGACATTTCATATGATTATGTTTCAAAATGAGATTATGTTGAGAATAATGTTCTTTAAAATTGTTAAAACATAGTGTCAGGGGAATTATGCATGGACATAAAGTTGTAGGCAGACAGCCCACCAACCTCCCCAATGCAACCATGGGTTAGGAATGTTTTGAAAATGTATATGATTTGAAATACAACTCATCCAAATTTTAAAGATTGCACTATAAACTGTCTAGCAATAACATACTCCTAAAACTTAATTACAGTGCATTATTAACATGCTCACTCTTCTCCAATCACATTGCTTGAGTCATAGCATGTGCTCCTGTATTGTCCAGAGGTATACATGGAGTTTCTATTGTGAGAAATTTGTAATCATTATTTTTAGCCTTAAAATTAAAGTTAATGCCAAATCATTTTAGCTTATATGGCTAAAAATATACTATGTGACGGGAGATCTCTTATGTGAGTGTATTTTAGTGATCTCAGAGGCTGAGATGCCCTCTGTCTTCCACTAGACACCCACAGAGCAGAGCAAAGAGCAGAGTCCACTATTAAACTAAGTATAATGCTATTTTCTACCTGTTTACGATGAAATAAATTGTCCATGTTGCTGTGTTCATACACCCTGCCTCAAGACTCATTAATATGAAAGAGATTTTAAGATTATTCCATGGCATTATCAACCATTTCTGTTCACGGCATGACATATGCATTTGTTTGGGGGCCATTGAGCAGTGTCACCACACCACGAGTCCAGAAAGGTCATGGATCAGCTGTGGGAAAGCTGGGAATCACTGGTGAGAATCCAGTGAGGGAGACCTCATAGAATCCCGGATAAACATTTGGCAGATGCTGTCATCCTTACATTTTAAGGCTTTACCTGGGGTTTGGACCCATGGTCTTTGTGTTGTTAGCACAATGCTCTACTGACTGAACCACAGGAAAGCTTTAGTTTCTAGTGGGATTCCTGGTACTCACCATGATGGCAACCACACAACATTTATTTATTAGTAAAATCGTATTTTAAATGATGGCCGAAACTAAACAAAATACTTGGTTTTGGTTAATGGTTTATCAATCAATATTAGCATCTATAATGGAGGCAATAATTAAGTGAGCGCGCTTATTAACGGTACAGTTGCATTGCTGCCAAAGTTGTTAAAAAGATTCTATTCACACCTACTTGCAATTACAACCAATGAATATCTACGTGATTTTACATATTGTTTCTTTAAATATAAAAAATGCTCCTACAAAAATATCCCTTTTCAATATATATCAGGTACTAAGACAAACATTGAATCCAGTTGCCATCATTATCATATATATTTTTTATTTCTTTGTTATGAAGATATTTAAGCTTTGGCTCCTGCCTATTCCCTCTTTCTATGGCGCCGGTTGGATCATCTTCTCATTTAAACACATGAATGCTAGCAGGCTTGTTCTCTAGAGACTTTATCAAATGATTGGCCCTAAGCCTATAGTCTTTCAATGTTTGATGTTTTCCTCTTGTTAGCAGAATGCAACAGGAGCTCTTGAATGTAGCACAAATAAATAGTCTTAGCTTCAGAGAGAACGAGTGTGACTAAAGAGGGTGGAGGATGGGTTTAATGTTGTTATCCAGGGTTTTTAAGTACCACTGAATATCTCCCTCCGTATACTCTCTTAATACAGACATGTAAAAAGGTCTCATTATACAGGCAGCAGAAATAAAATATCCCGCATCCCGGACTGCATTAGAGAGGCTCTGTAGTTCTGCACAGTTGTTGATGGGCTCTCTCTGCAAATTGTCTGACTATGGTCAGATCTCCTCTTCCTAGAAGAACTCTCAGATCTGTGCTCTGACTCATTGATTATTTTCAACAGGCAGGGGGATGCCAGCTTTACAAGCGTTTGAAGTGTGCTTTTGTGATTAGACAGATTAGGCCTTTGATAATGGATGTGATTAGGTTTTATAATTGCTAACTCTAATTTGAATTAATTAGCATTCCATGTGGTAGTGAGTTGGTTCTTGTATAGCAAACTTATTTACTGTTACAAATGATGATGTGCAACTGAATTAATTCAGTCATCTTCTATATTCTCCTGTAATCAGAGCATAGCTGTTTCAGATCTTTCCATAAGTAAACTGTGATCAAACCATTCAAATGAGCCGCCGGGTACCTGCTGCACCTACTGGCTGCTTAGATATGTGCAGAAGATTCATTCAGTTTCATTCAATGAAAAAAATATTCCCAAAAAAGACTGCTGGGATTGGTAAAAATTTAACAGTGATTTCATAAACACCACCTAAAAAGTCTTAAAAAATAAAATTGTTGTTGCTATACATTTTTGATAATATTTGTTAAATATGATTGCAATGTAAGCAAGGTTTAGCTTTAAGGACTATGGTGTTTGTTCTCTGTAGCCCCTTTCAGGCTCAACCATGTAGAGCTTTTCCAATGGTGGTCTCTTGCATCCTATTCACAAGGATTTTACGAGCAGGGATGGGGGTTGGGGGGGCATGGTTTCTATAGCAACGGGTTCCAGGGACGATCACTGTGGTTGTGGATCAGCAAGCAAATGCAAGCCTGACTTAGCAACCGCTCGCAGCCTTATGCTCTGCTCCAGATTTCTTTCCCATATGCAAGCGACTGACCGTGTTATGTAATGGTACTCACTAGATTTATTCCGCACAGCCAGTGGGGGAGGCTTCTGTATTATTTGAACTTTTAAAAAAGGCTTGAAATAATCACAGCTCAGCAGATTGACTTTGGCGCCTACATTTGGGGAAGGGTTTCCTCAGCTTCAGGCCAGATGATAAGTAGCTCGTCATATTCTCTATACAGTAGCTTGTATTTGGGTGCAGTGCTGTCTGTAAATACACAGCGGTAATCTGCTTAAGCCGGCCCATGAGCCAGTGCAGCATGACAGGTGTCTTACACATACAGTAGCTCCTGCAAAAATAGCAGCAACAGCTTGCCAACTCAAACCGTGATGGTGGAAGAAACTGTAATGCTTGAGGTGTGGCTTCACGTCAGCACTTTAAATGAAGGAAGTGTCTAAAATCAGCTTAATTATGTGGTGAGCTTCCTCCGTGGTGCTTTTACTCAGCAAGAGCCACACATTTATAGACCACCCAAATAAGTGAGGAAACACTAGGAGGTGGTGTAAAATGTTTTTTTTTTTTGTTTTTTTTTTTGCAAAAAGATTTAAAAAAAAAAGGTTGACTAACATTTTTTTTCTTTGGAAGTGTAGAAATAAACCTATTTATGACAATAAAAAAAAACAACTTTTTTTTCATCTGTGCCAGTATGTTTATTTCTTTTGTATAACCAAAACATGGTAAATATAAAGAAAGCAATTACATCCTTTTAAAAGTCAGTTTTTAAATCATGTCATTATTTCATGCCCATTTAAACACAAAATATTTGGGAATTTCTAAATGACATTTTAGGAGAATAATTTAGAAGTTTTTTTCTGCGCTTATTTTAAATAAAAGCCAGAGTTTCCCCTGAGATTACAGTGAAGGGTTAGCCATGTATTAAAACTAGTAGAACTTAAATATAAATGGCACAAATAACTGCTCATTTGAATTGTTATCATAATAGTTGATTTGTCTGTGTAGTAGTATACGTATATCACAAAATTAAGTCAAGCTTTGTTTTGTATCTTTGTGTGGAAACAATCCAAAGGATATGTTCGAGCTTTATCCAATCATCAGCTGTCGTCCAAATAAGTTGCTTCATGTTTCTTTTCCAGTCTCCTTCCGTTTTTTTTTTTGTCTGTATAAACGGGTAGACATACACACATGTGACTTCCTGATAAGGAAGGAACCATCGTGGTTTCAAAGCCTCACCCCAATCATACATAACCTGTTATGTACAGCTTATTTAACACACAAAAATTTGAGAAAAACTTCTCTGAATTTGATTGTTGGCAGCATAAATGATCTTTCAAAACAAGCTCAAACCAAAAAAACAAAAGACTCAACTTGTTCCTGGTATAGATGACTTTAAAACATCATTAAAACCCTTAAATCATGGTTTAAAACAAAAAAGTTCTGGTTTTTCCCATAGACTTTGATTGGGTGGTAATCATTTTGGAGCCAGGACATAGGGGCGATCGCGATGGTTTAGCTGCTCTCTGCTAGCCATGTAAAACACGCTTGGTATATGCAATTTTTTTGAAGAGTTTCCAGATTTGCTCCAACTATAGTGTCATTTATTGAGATTTTCCTGTGGAAAAAGACTCATCGCATTGAAGGATAAAAATGATTCTAGTTTAAAATAACATTATGATTCATGCAAAAATTTTTGCATATCACAAACATTTTACAAACACTGTTACATATGCCTATGAGTTATTAAAAGATTGCCATTTACCGTGTGAGAACTGTATTTAAGTCAGGTTGTTGTGAAGTGTGGAACTTCTGCATTGAGTATAATGTTATTTCTAGTTGAAGAGAACTGATTCGATCCCAACGTGGAGAGAGAAGCCTGCTGAGAACTCTACCCGCACCTACACCTATCTTAAAGTAGACAAACACATCCATCACAGCAACAGACTGAGCCTCTATTTGTTCCTTAGTTCAGAGTCAGCAGTTGGTTTTAAGAATGTGGGTGGAAACTGAAGCGCCAAGAGCAAAGCTGGGCAACACAGCTCCAAACTCCTTTCTAAAGCCAGGGCTAGCACAAGAAAATTTCAGCAAGAGTTAGAAGCAAACCTCGATTCCTAGATATATGATTCTATGATATTTTATTCATAGAATATCCTTACAAAAACATTATAAAACCAGTAATTACAGTCGCTGCCATCTTTGATTATCAAAATGACATTTTTCTCATCTTTTTTTATGTATTAAAATTGGCTTGAACGTTACTCTGAACCATTCATTCATTCTGTATGCAGAAAACTATGAATATGCTAATAAGTCTCCGCCTCCATTCAATCTCCCAAACTTAGACCTGCTCCAATTGAACATAAATGGAAATGGCAGTCGGGATTATGAATGTGACAATCATTACCATTTCAAAAGGGACTATTTGATTGTATTTATTCAAGAGTTATAGCCTGGATGGCAGACAAATAGTGCCTCATTATAGATCTCCCATAGCTATATATAGTGCTCTAGTCTACACTGCTTAATTACACGGCACCAACACTTTGCTTGTTTGTGGGTGGGCAGATCTCGGCATTGAACAAAACCTCTTGTGTATAGAAAAGTTAATTGCTAAAATTCCTCTGAAAGTTTGTGAAAGGCCACATGACTTGAAAGGTAGCAATAAACTTTGAGGAGGAGACTCTAACTTCTGTTACACGTTGATGGGGGCTGATTGCAGGTTTGTGTCATTAATAAAAACTGTGAAATGGGAAACAAATAGTCTTCAGGCACTTTTAACATCATGATAAGCCATTGTAAAAAATATAGGGTATTAATTTGTAGAGAATATAAAAGGTTGTAAAACAATGTTGTGGTCTGATATTTATTATCACGTATTGATTCTTTCTGATGGGACCTTTCTTCAACAGCTCAACTTGTTTACTGTCAGGTAAATACAATTCTTTAACCTTTTCCTATGACTTTGTTGTTTCTGCCTTTTGTTGAACCATCTCAGTTCAGGTGAATAGAGCAGTGGATATACACAGCAGCATGTTACCCATGGGGCTCCACATCTGACTGTGTCGTAAAATGCCACCATGTAAAGCAGCGCCCCTACAGCTTTGAAAATCTGTGTAGAATTCAACACAGCCTTACAAACCCAAATGTCACTGTCTCTGTGTTTTCCCTACATATGTAACATAGCCCACGGCTCAGCTCCGAAGCATTGCCAGACCATCCCTAGCCATTTTACTCATTAACATACTCTGCACATACTCATGGGATGTCAGGTTGCCAAGCAACAGCGCCACATCACTTAGAGAATTGTGTGGGTTTTTTTGGGGGAGAGTGGCACTCGTGGATCAA